CGAGCAGGGAGCCCGATGCGGGACTCGATCCCGGGACTCCAGGATCATGACCTGAGCCGAAGGCAGTCGCTTAACCGACTGAGCCACCCAGGCGCCCCACCTAAGGAAATTCTTGACGTTTACGTACGCTATAAATCTCAGAATATGGAGACTTAAGTGTAGGGCTGTTACTAATTTTTTAGCCCTGCTTTACAATTTTCACCTTTCTGGGCCTTGGGGTCTTGAGATAGATGGACAATATTAAAGACGTGTTTCTCACTGAGATGTTATTAAAAGGTTTGATGTTTCTGAAATCTTTAGAGTCATTTCTATATACAGACTTTGTCTTTTCTCACCTGTTCTTTTCCGCTCTGTGTTATGAATGAGAGCACGTTTGAATGTTAGGGGACAAACCCTGTGTATAAAGTAATGTGTTTTCATGGTAATATTACTGAAATTTTCCTACTGGATTATTCAGTACTTTTTTTTTTTTTTAATTCTTAAAACCTTGCAATAACTAAGTAGCAAAATCTTTTTTTCCCCTTTCTTTTCATTTGGGGGGGGGTTTAAAAAAATTGTAGGAGGCATATGTACTCACGGTATTTCAAACAAGATAGGAATATGTAGAGTAACATGTAGAGTAATGTGTAGAGTAACAATTTTGACAATATCCAGGAAACTTTCAGGCTGCCTCTATATATAGTAACTCCAAAAGATTATCAGATTTTCCATTGTATTAAAGTTATGTCCATCAGAAACCTTCGTTCTTTTTCTCCCGGTAACAATGGTATTGGGTGACATGGTCCCAGAAGCCCTGCCCAGCTCTAAAACTCTACAATTTAACAACTGTGTTAGAGTTAGTACATTAAATAATGAGTATGACTGGAGTTTGGATATTTCATTATTGAAATGGGGGTGGGACCTATATTTTTTAAATCAATTACAAGGTTAAGAGTTGTGTCTGGAAGTTAACAAAACCAGAACTTGGAAGTGGCCAGTCGACTAATCAACTATAGACTTGGCAATACATTGCTCAGCATGTGTTTTGAGAGTTTCAGAGCAAAAGCAATAAATCTTCCTGGAAATTTGTCCTTATCATTTACTTAGCCCATCTTAGGGTGTCTGTGTTAGCAAGAGCCATCTGCCTATTTTGTGTACTAAGATTGTTTGTTACATTTTTTAAATTCTGTCTGACCTAGCTACATTTTAAGATGTTTATAACATTGAAGCCACATTTTTTGTCCTGAGCTGGTTGTAGGCTTTACCACATTTTGTTAGGAACATGCTAAAGATGCTTCATACACCTGGTAAGTAATCAAATAAACTTAATTAAAACGAATGGTATTGCCTAAAAACGTAATACATTTTCTTTTGTGATTCTTGTGGCCATCAGTAGATCTCAATTCAACATTGGCATTAAAGCGATGTTGCAAGAGAACCTCTGGCTTGAGAATAAGTAGACAGACATAGGCTTTGCCACTGCTTAAATCCGTGATCTTGGGAAAGTTATATAATCTCTCTGTGGCTATTTTCTTATCCGAAAAATGGAAAATTGCCCTAGGAAATGTAAAATCATCCCAACATAGTTTGATGATAGATTTTGGTAATTTGCTGCTAATCACGTCTTTATGATGAAGTTATCATCCTGGTTACCAATAAGACATCCCATTTCCTTAAAAGAATTTTTATGACCGGTATGTACCATCTTGCATTCAGGGCCATTTGTATATTTGTGTGAGTGAATGTGTGTGTGAGTGAGTATATGTGTATAGTGTTGGGGGCTTTTGTTGTACTTGTTTTGTTTTTTTTTTTTTTCCCTTTAAGACAATGGACAATTATAGTTCTATTAATTTTTCAAGTTGATGACTTCTTGCATTTCATGTGTGGGGGTTTTACTTTTATCTGGGAACCTAGGTGCATTCTCTTTAGCCTGAGAAAATCAGCTTCTGTTTCTCTCTGGCTTAAATTTACTTCTTCCTACCTGAGAGTCTGCCTATTTAGGGCAAGTCTTGACTTGCCCGCATTGCCTCCAAGATTAGCCAGATGACTCACCTGGCTCCCAGGAGCCATTATGTGATTTTGATGCTTAGTGATTGGCCAGATAAATATCAGTAAGTACCTACCTTCAACTCTGGAAAATTGGAATCATTAAATTTAAAGCTTCTAACTCTTTTGACTTTGAAATTGAAAACAGGTATCTTTGCTTAAGGTCCCCCAACTGGCAAAATTTATAATAAGCTTTGAATGCTGAGAGGTAGATATGCAAAATTTTAGTCAATTTA